TTTACGACCCCGAGCGGAGACACTCACACTCACTCAATCACTAACACACACACACACACACACACACACACACACACACACACACACACACACACACACACACACACACACACACACGGTTATACACTTAATCATTAACTAACACATACACACACTCAGAGACACGCACACAGAGAGAGACTCATGTAATAACACACACACACACACACACAATCACTAACCTGCACCCTGATTTATACAATAACACATACACAACCACTAACACACACTCTCTCAGACACACACACAATCATACATTTACACACATTCACACACGTGCAAACACACACACACACAAACACCAACACACTCTCTCTCTCTCTCTCTCTCTCTCTCTCTCTCACACACACACACACACACACACACAATCATACACCAACACACTCTCTCGCTCACACAAACACACATACAATCAACCACTAACACACTCACGCACACACACACACAATCATTCACTAACACACTCACTCTGTCACAAACACTCAGTCACTCACTCAATCACACACATGTACACACAGTCATACAATATCACATACACACACAATCACACACTAACATATACCCAATCTCACACACTCACCCACACAATCATACACTAACACACACACACACACACACACATTCAACACACGCTCACATTCTCACAAACATACACACATACACTCAGTCAGTCAGTCACACAATCACAAACTAAAACACTCACTCACACAAACATTATTATTGTATTAGTTCACATTATCATTAAGAGTGTGTGGGTGTTTCCCAGTACTGTGTTGCAGCTCAGAGTGCATCCGCTGCATGGAACATAAGCTGGATAAGTTGTTGATTCATTCCGCTGTGGCAAACCCAGATTAATAAAGGGACTAAGCCGAAAAGAATATGAATGAATGACATTATAATTAAAGTTTAATTAATTAATTATATAAATTGAATTAATTAATATATAAATTAATTTATCAATTAATATATATATATATATATATATATATATATATATATATATATATATATATATATATAAAACATCTGGTTTATTGAACTGGTTTTACACTACTAAATCAGCTTGAACTCCCTCATCTAGAATAGAATATAGAATAAAACTCACTCAGCTTATATTCTGTAAAAGTTATAGACGGTGTTCAGGATCTCTGCTGATGTGAAGCTTGCTTTTCTTTAAATGTTTTACGTTTCTGCCATCTAGTGTCTGAGAGCAGGTTTGCAAACTGTCCTTGAGTTTTCAAGACCACCACCACAACCCTATTATCACCCGTCAAACAATGCTCATCACAAACCAAACACCCATTAAGGCTCACAATGTACTTCATCAATTGGCTGCTAATATAATTTTACTATTTAGAATTTATAATTAGTACTTTTCTAAGTTTATATTATTAATGAGAAAGACTGAATTTGCCAATATAAAACCAACTTAACCTCAATCAAAACAACCACATAGTAACACCTTAAAACACCTAGTGACTACTCAGAACTCCATAGCAACCTCCCAAAATACCCTAGCAACCACTTTATTAAAAATAAATACATTTTTAGATATTTGCTAAATCCAAAAGTTCTTCGAAAGTTCAGGCTAAGCTTTCTCTGAAGCGTGTCTCTCGATCTGTTGTATAGTTGATAAAAAATAACCAAATAAACAGTAAAACATAATGTTTGGCGGTTGCGCCTTGTGACAACAAACACAACTTCGGACTTATTTTACCTGAAAACACACTGTTTTCGAAGCCAAACACACGGCAGCGACTTTTTATAACGCCAACAACATAACATTAACAATATACAGCGGAGGCTGATGTGTTTTTGAACGTTATTAGCTGATAAACAAAAATAATATTGAAACAAAACTCACCTCAGCTTGCGTTGAACAGGCCTTAGCAAACTCCAACCGACAGATGGCGCCAATTATCCATACTTTATTATAATTTGAAAATACATCTTTTAGCATGTACAAGAGGTTATTCGAAATCCTTGAAATTAAATAAGTTTGGGAAAAAAAATATGTTAATAAATAAAACTCCACATAAACGGAGGCGCTCCTTATGAATATTAATCAGGTCACGCTGATGTTGAGCGTCCGATCAAGTGTTGTGATTAATATTCATGAGCCACGTAAAGCGGTTTATTTATTTGGCTTTTTCCACTTGTAATCATCATTTAGCTTGTTTCTACACATTTTTATCTGTCTTATACACATGGACGAGGTGGCCGAGTGGTTAAGGCGATGGACTGCTAATCCATTGTGCTCTGCACGCGTGGGTTCGAATCCCATCCTCGTCGAGTGGTTTTGATTGATTCATTTCTATAAGGGATTCGGACATTTGTTCTATTCCTTATAGGTAAACAACGCTGAGAAAAAAATCAGAGCTGAACAAATTCGGTAAAATTAGATTATTACACACACTTCAACTCTGTTCAATTGTAAACATCCTGCCGAAAAAAACTGCTAAAACCAGCCTAAGCTGGTTTTCAGCTGGTCTCTCAGCCTGGTTAAGTTGGTTTTAACTGGTCTCCCAGCCTGGTCAAGCTGGTTTTAGCTCTTCTCCCAGCCTGGCCAGGGTGATTAAGCTGGTCTCCCAGTCTGGTTTTAGCTGGTCTCCTAGCCTGGTCAAGCTGGTTTTAGCTGTTTTTTGCAATAGTAAACTTTAAGTTCAAATTAAATATATATTATTATTAGCAATGATAAATACACATTAAAGTAGCACATATGCTTTCAGCATCGTTAAATCACTTGTGCACATTCGCAATAGTCACATATGAGTGATATGTTAAGTTCATATGTTGGGATTCGACAGGGTGGGCCACTTATATAGATACAAATAAAATGGGAATGGTTGGTGATATTAACGTCTTGTTTGTGGCACATTAGTATATGGCTGTTTCTCAATCCCAAGAATGCAGAGAACGGACTTGCGTTCTTGTGGAGACCGGTCTAGCCAGGTGTCCTCGGAAGAACGAACTCAGGAGACCAGAACAGACACGCGTCCTGTGAGAAATGGGATGCTGCGTTCTTCCTGATGGTCACATGACCTTCACGTGTTTTAAATGGTAGATAATTTAAACATTACAACATACAAAGATTTATTGTTATTCCGATTTTAAATACATTTACTCTGCATAAAAAACATTATCAATAGACTCTGCACAACATAAATAAAACTGATTATTGGGAATTTCAGCAAACACCCTTAATGTGTTTATTCCTTTATTAAGATGTTCACGGTCATGTTTACTTTGACGGTTTCATTTAGGGAAACTCCTGAGGTAAATAAATAATATCTCTGAACTTTAATATTAAATCTAGATAAAATGCTGCGCTTCCCACCTCCAGTCGCAATGACTTCTGGGACTTCCAGAGCGAGTTCGGTGTTCAAGTCTGCATCGGTGCATCCTCAATATCAAGATCCGGGAAGTTTCATGCATCCTCCGTACTTGCGGTCTGGAGTATTGGAACTAAACTTAGGCAGCTGATGATGACGTTACACAAGAACACGAGGACACAAGACCGCTGAAGAACGCATATAGAGAAACAGCCTATGTGAGAGGGCAAACTTTTCAAGATGGGTGGTGACCATGGTGGCCATTTTGAAGTTGGCCATCTTGGATCCAACTTTTGTTTTTTTTAATAGGCAGAGGGTCATTTGACAGCCAATTATATCACTGTATGCAAATACACCACCATAGACAGTGGCTTATTGCTGACTAATTTTATTGGCTGACGCCGCTATGATGATCGCGTCAGCCTCAACTTCAAACACACCCTCTGTCAAGCGTTGATGCTAAAGCCTCTTGTGAATGGAGCGTTAAGCTCAATGACTGTAAAAAATATGGACGACGCGACAGCCCCTTTTCCCATTGAACGCCTTGAGGGCAAAACGCCTGCTTGGCGGGCACAAACTGTCGCAAAAGACTGCTGAAATTGGAGCCAGACATGCGCAGAAGGATTGTCTGATGGAGCCAGAGGAGGAGCCGCGAAAATGAGCAGAGTCGAGCTTCCAATCAAACGCTTTATGTAAAATCAACTACGCCCCCCGAACTTCTCAGCATGCGTTTGCTGTCATATCAACACAAATGGATGTAATAACGTTAACAAATATGAGGGTTTTATATATTCAATCGCGCCAGCTCCAGGCCGCAGCGCATAACCTACTCGCGGCGTCGCGGGCTGATTCCGGCTCGCATGCGGCAGCGCCTGCTCGCTCGGCCGCCGCATCTGGCTCGATTGACTCGGACTGGAATCTGGCAGTGAGTCCAGGCATCCGGAGTAGGTCCAGCAGAGGTAGTCAGTCTGAGCTCTAAGAGATAAGTCTCCGGCAGGCGAGAATCTAGCCGGAACTGTGTTTTGCTATCTGGGTGGCTAGGCGTGTATCAGCAAACTAATAAAGCCCGAAAAAAGCCCTGAACTTAGCGAATAAACAGTGTTCCACCAGGATCATGTATGTCAGAAACTATAGTTTACTGCTGAACTCATTTTGTCAAGGTAAAATAACACAGAAATCGAATAATAACACTTCAGTCTACTTCAGTCTCCTGCCGAAGCTCAGACGCGCTGCTTTGAGAAACTGTCAATCACAGCTGTCAATCACGATGACACGCCCAGCATTAAATTACTGCTAAAAACAAACTGTTTACAAAAATAAAGATCTGCACCTATTTCAGCACAATAACCAGTGCCTTAATCCACCAGAACTATCTTTCGGGACATTTTATTGCAAGTGTAATATTTTTTTTTTATTTGGGCTCAAGTCTCCTTCATTAACACGGAGGAGGCGGGCTTTATGACTTGTACTGCAGCCAGCCCCCAGGGGGCGATCTAACGGCCGAAACCTTCACTCAAACGTAGGCTTGAGGCACACTTGGTTAAGCTCAGTCTGTAATAAAACACCAGTTCAATAAACGTAAACATTTTTTCAATCCCAACCACAATTAAAGACACGGCACAACTTCTCAACAGAAACAAAACAAAGTGTTTATTGTATTTTCCACAGTAACTTCATGACGTCAGGTTGGACTGGAATGATGTTGACTCCCCATCATGAAAGTTCAGCCGTTCACTCGTTTAATCCAGCTAGAAAAACAGAGTAAAGAATTATTAGTATTGTCTAATGATGCGTCAGTCACCAACAAAAATTAACCATTTAAATGTGAAAAATATCAGCCAAAAAAAATTTTTTTTTTTTTTTAAATGTTATATTTTATTTACTAAACTAGTTATATTGTAAGAAATATCATTATCGCACTCAACATTTTTCGCAGTGTCGAATATGTATACAATTCATCGCTATCTCATGACAATTCATTATCTTGTATTTTTAGTTGCATTTTCGCACAACTGAGCGGAATTTAAAAGGATGCGTGGCACAAACCCCGCCTCTAAACCCAACCGTGATTGGGGGATGAGCAAATTGTACAAAAGATTGTACTAATACGAATTAGCCACTAAATCAAGGTTACAAAATGCCATGATAGCGTTGAACTATATACATTCAAGACACTACATTAGACACTGCGCAAGTACGCAATATTGTTGTTGAGTGTTGCAATATGTCTTACAATAAAACCAAATTGAAAAAAAAAAATACAACTATAATTTTTTTATTATTATGTAAAGATCATAAACTAGACATTTTTCTAAGATAATCAAAATACTTTATTGCAGTTCTCTATGATATGGCTACTATTATACTCATTACTAATATTATTTATTACACCTATACTGTATTCTAGGGCTGCACAATATATTGTTTCAGCATCGAGATCACAATGTGCGAGTCCGCACAGAGATCTGCAATGTAGTCTGAATTAAACTTGACTGAAGCATAAGTTATCAACATAGGAGCCATTTCAAATTTTAACCTTCGAGGGTAAGTTTTTATAATTGCATGCGTTTGAGACCTGACTAATGCCTAGTTCAGACTGCGTGATTTTAGCCCCGATTTTGGCTCGCCGACAGGTGTTGAGAAATCGCCGACAAATGCCTGAAATCACAGGCAAATCGCTGCTCGTGCACGTGAGTGACAATCACACAGTATGAACTATCAAAGACACGATCTGAGAGAATCGCCGATGAGTCGCCGATGCCTGTGAGATATTTGGCGTGCTGAATATCTGGAGCTGTCGGCGATTCAAATCATACCGTGTGAATTGAGTTTTGACTGAAAATAACATCAGCGATCGCCTACAGCCAATGAGAGAGCAGCTTTCACTTGAGTGTGCGTGTGTGTATGCCTGCTGCAGGCCAGCGGGAGGCTGGGGAGAAGTTAAAAGCGCTCATTTTCGGTTTATTTGGACCCACGAAATGGAGGAAAAACTAGTGGAGGTTTGACAGGACTCAGGAGCAACTGTGTCTGTTTGACGGTTCATACAGAAGGAAATTAGTTTATTATCAACTTAAGTTGAGGAGAAATGGCTAAAATCCCTTTAACCCAGGTGAGCAAACATGTACATGTTCTACCCCATTAAAAGCTTCTTTCTCATTATGTAGTTAATAACAAAAGATATACGACGTGTTTTTGGCTGTGAGACGTAGTTTGGACGAAGTTGTCAGCGATTCTTCCTATAGTAAAGTCATGCAATGTGAAAGTCCCTGTCGCCGATCCACCTTGCAGTGTAAACAAAGCAGAGACGAAACGCCAGCCCAGATAGTCAAGCAGTGTGAACACATCTGTGACACGACTACTTTGAAAATCATGCAGTCTGAACTCGACATAAGAATTTGACGCAAACTTGAGCAAATTGAAGATCCGCTCCCCTACAGAATCATCCCACTCGGCCTAAAACAGGGGTGGGCAAACTCGGTCCTGGAGGGCCGATGCCGTGCAGAGTTTAGCTCCAACTCTAATTAAACACACCTGCTTATAGATTTCTAGTGATCTTGAAGACACTGATGAGTTTGTTCAGGTGTGTTTGACTAGTGTTGAAACAAAACTCAGCAGGGACACCGGCCCTCGAGGATCAAGTTTGCCCATCCCTGGTTTAAAATCATCAATTCTTTACAAGCTATTCAAGTCATCTACTGAAAATGCATTTATAGTGCAACATACATCGCACTGAATAAAGAGAGCAAAGTTATTTCTTTTCCCATGTCGTGCAGCCCTACTGTATTATACTAATATTAATACTATTGAGCTATTATTATTAATTACCAATATACAACACTATTATTATCTCTTACTATTATTATAATACTATATTATTATTGTTTTCTATTACACTATTATGTATTATATATTAAACAAGATTACTAGACATTTAAAGTGAGCGATTGCTCCAGGTTTTAAATTTCTGTCTAGAGAGATCATGTTTTGATCCTCGATTGGTCTCACGTAGTCAAGTGATGCGATTTCGCAGGTCAGAGTTCACCAAGCTTGAACTGCGAAACTTGACGCATGACCCTGCGTTTCCAGTCTGACGCATTCGTGTGCGTATGAATGGAAGTCTATGGGGAAACAAGTCCAGTGTGACCACAGCTTTACATTTAACCAACAATTGAAGAGCGTCACCAACAAGCATGATTTAGTTTATATACAGGTCAACATTTGAAGTGGATCAAAATAGTTTTCCAAAAATTGTCCTAAAGACGAGAGTAGATTTAGGACTACTTTGATAAAACGTTTGGATCCATTTCAAACGCTGGCTACTGTATATTGCATATGGCTGATAGTGTTTTGATATATTGTGCAGCCCTTCACTCAATTACCAACAATCACTTTATGAAGAGCATCACTTCTTATAAGCCTAGTAATACTTGCCTTGACGAAGCCGATGTCTTTAGCGTACTGCCTGAAGCACTGACGGCACATGTTGAGTCCGTATTTACGGATCAGTCCGTGACGGTTTGAGCAAACCCGGCTGCAAAACACAACAAGAGCATCGGTTACAATAGAAGTGCATTGTTTTAAGTCGGCATATGTCAATTCACGTGGACTTTTATTTCAGTATGTTGATGTACATCCAACTGAATATTGAGTAGGGGGCGGGCTTTCAGTATGTTGATGTACTTCAAACTGAAACTGAATAATAAGTAGGGGGCGGGGCTTTCTTTTGCACGTCAGTTGCATAGCAAACCAGCAGTTGTTGCTAAAAGGGATACAGCTGCAGCAGGATGAATTTATATGTATTAAAAAACTAATTTAATTGTATTGGATTTACGCTAATTTACCCCTACCCTAAACCCAATCCTCAGGGTAATACAACAGTATTTATAATGATAGTCATTTATAATTTGTTAAATTTAAAATTTCATATTAAATTTATTAATTGTACTTTATTAACGTACACCCCTAAACCCAACTCACATGCAATGTAAAACAGTAATTATAATAAAATATTTATTAATTACAATTAAAATAATTAAATTACACATTAAATGTACATCTACTACAACCACAACCCTAAACCCAACCATCACAGTAGCAAAAACAGCTATTATTGTTGCACGTTTATGCTGTATTTGATTGCACATGTGCAGCTGTATCCTGAAGTTCATTGATATACAGTTGTTATGGAAGCTCTCAGGTTGATGTCAACAGCAGAACATGCTCAGACTTTGCTTGTAGATTTGCATTGATTGTATTTTATTAAAGTCTACATCTACCCCTACTCTAAACACAACCCTGACAGCAATGTAAAAACCATAATTATGACAGATTTATTAATTACATAAAATGAACTTCAACGTCTACCTCTACCACAACCATCACAGTAATGTAAAAACAGTAATTAAGAGAATTATTGTACTGAATAAAATACACTAATTGCATTATATTAAAACCTACCACCCAGTTATGCACATACAGTAATTATGAAATGTATTACACATTAAACTGCATAATTAACACCTGCCCCAACCCTCATAATACTGCTTTTTGTACAGAATCACAAAATGTATGCTACATTGTGCTCGTCTTCAGCTGTATCCCTTCTAGACTTTACCCAACTTACAATTAACGCAACCAAACTAACAATAAAAGGGGAATGGCCATGTTCATTAATATAAAGTTGCTATGAAAGCCTTCGAGTTGATGTCAGCAGTATGAAAACATGCTCAGACTTTTGATTGTAGATCATCAATATATCTTTATTCAGTGGATTAACATGCAGACTAATTATTCATGTTAGGAAAAGCAATGCGAGCTAGCAAAATAAACAATGTAAATTTTGATTTTACAAGGACTTTAAAAGGGACGGTTCAACTTTAATATAATGAAATTCAGATTCAAGCCTCTGAGCACAAAAAAATATTCAGACTACTGGAAAGCGGCAGCCACTGAATTACACGTTTTTTTTTCCTACAATGGATGTCAATGCTACCAGTTTCCATTATTAATTAAAATATCTTCTTTTGGGTAAAAAAAAAAGGAAAAAAATACAAAGCTTTAATAAAATATATATTTTTATATAAGTGTACCATCGCTTGTATTAACAATGCACTTAAAACAAATAATTTTTTTTTTTTCAATAAAAAAGCAGATTAAACGTACACAAATCACTATTTATTTTCTTAGTACCTCATTTAAACTGCATTTTGTGGGGGAAAAACAGCAATGCTACATTTATGACCTGCCAACAGTCATCTTTGAAAATAAGTTAATCTAATGCTTTTCTAATGGTAAAACTGTAGTAACCATAATTGTTTGGTGCATTGACTTATGCATAGTGCATAGTGGGGTAAAACTTTAAACATAACGTTTGGATACCACATTTTATTTTTATTACATTACAATTTAAGCAAATTGTAATGCAATTATCCTTTTAAATTAGGGCAAGACAAACTGTTTCAGCATTGATATTGCAATATGATCATTCGCAATTGTCACATTTCAACTATATGCAAGTATATGCATGCAAGTGTTTAAGGACTGTGAGGGTTTTAAAAGCTTCCAGGCTTAAGAAAAATGTACTGTTTGTAATAAAAGATTGCTTATTATATAAATATTGTGCTCAATAATATAAATATTACGCTTATTAAATAATACTTATGCTCATGTGCTATACAAATAAAGTTCACTTATATGCACTCGCCTACAAAATCTTCCCAATCAATCTGAAATTATAGATTCTTTACAAACATTTATTCAAATCATCGAGTGAAATTTCACTCAGTGTCTAGTATGCATCTTGATTTTAAAATATTTAGATATTTGGATAGAAAACAGGAAAAAACTTAGATTTTTATTTAATAATTATTAACAGCTCAGGGTTTTTTTTAGGCCTGTGACTGTGTGAGGGCTTTAAAAGCTTTCAGGCTTAAGAAAATGTACTATTTGTAACTTGCAAAAATTTATAATGATTAGTTTAATGGAATTGTTTATAAAAAAAGACGTAGTATTATTATACATTACTGTAGCCTTGAATAGTTTGATTCTTCGGAAAACAATAAAATTGTTTAATTAGCATATTTTTTTTATTGAAATTATGTATGCTGGTAGATTGCATATTATACAAATATTGTGGTCAATAATATATTGTGCTTATATAATACTTATGTTCATGTACTATACAAATAAAGTTAAATTACATTATGCAATCGCCTACAGAATCTTCCCAATCAATCTAAAATTATAGCTTCTTTTTGAACATTTATTCAACTCGTCGAGTGAAACTATTCATATCGCAATATAAAAAAAACGCAGAACAATAATGCAATGTTTTTCTAATATTGTGCAGCCCTACTTTTAAGATACGAAACACTTCATAAAGTCAGCAAACATCCATTAATTTTCTTAGCAATTTGTTTAAACCCCCTACAAGCAGTTAGTTACTAAATAATATTATAAGTTAACTGGTTAAAAAAATACAAGTAATAATAACTTTGTGAATTAACCAGAAATTCGTGTTAATAATTATGACCTGCAAATGGTCCTCCTTTGTAAAAATAAACCATGTTAAAATAGTACAAGTTAACTATGGCTGTGTGGTACACTGACTTCCATTTGCCAGCAGTTTTACCACAAATACCATAGTAAAACTAGTTCATTTTAACCATGAACACTACTTTAGTTTTGGTTAACACAGTCGACAGCGGTAAACCACAAATTATCCATGATTAAATGCTTACAAAATGGCATCAAAACATTAAATCGTTACTTAATAAAAGTGTGAAATGTTATATAAACATTTAAATGACTACGCAAGTCTGTAATCTGTGACCAAACATGTAGAAAATCCTCTAGACACTCTCTATATATAGGAGAGACCACTATTATCGAATTGATATCATACTTAGATGAAGTGTTTATCGTTTTATTCGGGTTTCCAGTAATCGGCAGTTAAACTATTCTCCGTCCGCCATGTTGTCAGCGCGCATCATCCTCGCCGCCCATGTGCTCCGCATTCCCGCGGATATTATAAACACACGACGGTCTGACCGAGCGAAAACCTTCACAAACACAAAACCTTCACATTAAACACCAAACTGAGCAGAACTGACCAGGATCTCGAGCCCTGGCCGTATTTTCTAGGGTGACTCCAGTAGAGCTGCTGATGGCCCATCTCGTCTCTCTCGATCGGGATGTCGAAAAGGAAGTGGATCTTGTGCGCAGGCGCAAAAAAGACGCGCTTCTTCTACGGAACCCGCCACTTCCTGCGCCCACACTAAAAAACGGCGCCATTCCGAGGGCGAGTTCCACATTACAGAAGTCAGGAAAATGTTTATTTGTTTATTTTATAGTGTAGATTGTACATGTATAGTGTAAAATACCTGCCCTTGTGTAGGAATGGTGATGGTGAATTTTTAAAAATATTGAATGGTCTTTTTAAAATCCCTGAAGTCTTCTCTGAGGAAGTTCTACACATATTATTGTTGTTTTATTACAATTAAGTCTTTATTTATTTGTTTATTAGTTCGTTTGTTCATTCATTCGTTTGTTTATTATTATTGTTATTATTATTATTATTAATAATAAGTTATTATAATGGTGTCGCGGTCGCACAGTGTCGCCTCACAGCAAGAAGGTCACTGGTTCGAGATTCGGCTAGGTTAGTTGGCGTTTCTGTGTGGAGTTTGCATGTTCTCCCTGTGTTGGTGTGGGTTTCCTCCGGGTGCTCCGGTTTTCACCACAGTCCAAACACATGCGCTATAGGGGAATTGGGTAGGCTAAATTGGCCGTAGAATGAGTGTGTATGGGCGTTTCCCAGTGATGGGTTGTAGCTGTGTAAAACATATGATGGATAAGTTAGTGGTTCATTCTGCTGTGGCAACCCCTGATAAATAAGCAGAAAAGAACATTAATGAATTAATGAACGTTACTATCATTAAAGCAATCATTAATTCGTTTGTCTTATAATAATAATATGTTTATTTTATATATTTGCATCTTCAGTGCTCAATTACGCTTTACAAAAAAAGCAAGAAAAACTATCATATTTATTACTGTAATATTTCTTTTGATCTTTTCTTTTAATTTATATTTCTTTATCAATGTTTATTATATTTGTAGAAGATTTTTCTAATAATTGTTTCGTACTATTTGTTCTTTCACGTATTTTTTGTTTTAAAGTATTCTAGTTTTAAAAATTGTCCTTATATTTATTACTTAAAGCTTGTATTTGCGAAACAAACTTCTATTCTAGGACAAACAGCACAAGATTTACATTAGAAATGCATATAAATGCACACTGAAGTTTCAAAGGGACCCCAAAAATTAAATTTCTATTATTTATTCTCTCAAGTGATTCCAAAACCTTTATGAGTTTTATTTTGTTTCATCATGCTGAACACAAAGTATATTATGGTTTGAAAATGTTGTAAACTGGTAAGCATTAACATCCATAGTAGAAACAAGTATTATAGAGTGTGAACGTGGCTTTAGTTTGCTTTGAAGCTGTGGTCACAGGGCACTTTTCACCCCATAGACTTACCTCTTACGTATGTAAATACAGCAGACTGGAAGCACAAGCTTGTGCGACACGTTCCACCTGCGAAATCGTATCATATGAATGCGTGAGACCAATTGAAGGTCAAAACCTCTCTGGAAAGAAATTTTAAATATGGAGCAATCACTCGCTGAAGCAGATGCCCAGAGTTTGAAGATTCCCAAACAAAAGTAGTGTCCGAACGAAAGAAGCATCCCAAATGACACATTATGCACTTATACGATAAACACTTGTGCACTTATATACTCAACCATGTAGTGTTTAAGTGTCATCTCAAATGAAACTGTAAGGGGCCGTTCACACAGAATGTGTTTTTCCTCACCAATGCATTACTTTTCTATAGGGGAAATACCAACCTACGTCACACGTAACGTCACACAGGTTCAAACGCGCATACCGGTTGCAAAAAAAGACCGGTTGCAATAGCAAGCATGTTGTGTTGTGCAGTAGGATGCCAAATTTTACCGTACACCAGTAGTAAGTGGAGTAAGGACCTAATTAATAATGCTGGACTCTGCAGTGCTCATGTTATATCAGGTAAGTTCACGCTATGCTAAAACATACACATCGCTAGTTTTGATTGCAGGAATAATTTCAGCAAAAACAGTTAAACATGGTGAATTAAACTGCGGACACAGAATGCTCAGAATGAAATGTAAACGTGTGTGTTTACATACCCTGCCGTACAGGAGCAGTTCACTGTCAGAATGCAGTAGTTCTGCTTGTTGATGATGACCCAGGCCTTGTACAGCTCCGTCTGCTTTCCTTGACTTTGGCTAGGCAGAACCTCGGTTTTTAGTGTAACCCCGCCGGTCCTACGCCACCCAACCCGCTCCGAGCTGGTATCGAACCGGCGACCTTCCACATGGGAGTCGGTTGCTCTAATAAGGAGGCTAAAGACCATGGCCTATAGCGTCTGTGGCTAGAGCACCTTTAGAGTTCAGAGGAGTGAGGTTTACCTGCACAGCATCAACTGGCTGACCTCCGCTACACTCAACCCCCTAAACCTCACTCCAAATCCGGGTCACGGCACCAATGTAACCCTGCCGGTCCTACGCCACCCAACCCGCTCCGAGCTGGAATCAAACCGGTGACCTTCCGCATGGGAGTCAGTTGCACTAACAAGGAGGCTGTGCAGGTAAACCTCACTCCTCTGAACTCTAAAGGTGCCCACTAGAGGCCTCCGTTACATTAGCACTACATAGTGTTGAATCTGGTCATCATGGAGCATTATTTCCGGCACATGACTGCACAGAACAACATTGTAGGCATCCAGACACAGTCCCTTTAAGGCAAGTCATTTCATTCGGCAGCCATCTTTGAAACACCTCTTGGCAGTATGCTCGGGCATTCTGTTTGAATGGGGAAACATCAAATTCTCCAAAAATAATAGTCATTCTATAGCGATAGCTGATTGGCTCCTGTACTACAAGGCGGGCTTTATTCACTATATAGCGATTAATGATTGGCTCCGCCATATTAACAGTTAATTTACCCCCCAAAGTATACGAGTGACACGTCTTCTCTATTCTATCCGCTTGTTAAGTGTGACGTCATGCGGAGCGGCTTCCGGGTCCAAGCGCTCTATTCAACTGAATGGGGAGATTCATGAAATGGTAATAATAAACGTTTACGAAGCGATTTAATGCTTTCGAAAGTCACGATTGCAATATATATGTCCATGCCTAATATCCGATGGCCAGAAAGTGATTCATTGTTTTATAAATTGTTAAAATTTTGGTATTTGTTATGCAGCAAGCCCAGAGATTGTTGTGTACACTATGACTTTATGTAAAATTAACTTTAATGTGTGATAGGAATAAAACGTGACCATAAACGAATGATTTCTCCACTCAAATGAATGGCGGCTTGGACCCGGAAACAGTATACAGTATATATGTCACAAACACGTCACCACTTAACAAGCGGATAGACTGATTTCACTCGGACAAAACCCGGAAGTATCGTTGGGAGTTACATGGGAACGTTGAGTACTAGGCTGTATATCTTATCAGTGAAGAGAAAGTGACACAAATTTATCAGGTGGAATTCCGGGAGTATTCCGGGAGACAGAACAATGCGGGACATGGGTCTGAAATACGGGAAACTCCCGGGAAAAACGGAAGTGTTGGCAGGTATGACTTAAGCGTATTGCCCTTACAGAGATTGTGATGTTGTGTGATGTTAAATAGTTAAAATCAAACTTACTGAATTATATTAGTGACTTTTACACCATTTCTGCATTTTAAAAATCATGGCAACAGCTGGAGGTTTGTTGTCAACAGCATGTGACTGCAATGTTTACAGTGCTGGTCCTACACTTCCGGGTTTTTTCCCCCACCACAGCCTCGCTTTGGTTCTTTAAAATGGCGGCCGTGTGAATAAGTGTATAGTCTTTGCTATGAAGTGATGTCAAAGAAATCATTTAGGTGGAACTGACAAACAGCAAGCTTTATCCCTGCTGAAAAATCCAGCTTAAACCAGCCTAGGCTGGTTTAAGCTGGATTTTTCAGCAGAGTTGGATGTTTTTGTCAGTTTCATGTTTTTTTTAAACACAAACATCTTGTCACTATTTTGTATCACACCATCTTATGGATAACCTATATTACTAGCATCAAAAAATGTTTCTTTAATTTCACTGAACCTTTAATGACACGCACAGTTGAATTGTTCACCACAAAACTAGCAATGTGAGCTAGCAAAATCAATGTGGTTAGTTTTGATTTCACGCGTACTTTAAGAATAACACCGTGAACAAACATTTACTGAGTACGTTTTGATTTCGCGCGGACTATTTACATGTGACGAGATGATTGACAGGTCTCGTAACTAAGCAACACAACGGTCCGTTAACGAGGAAGTAGTTTATCACAAAGCTTTGCCATCGATACTCCTTTTAGTATGTAGCCAATATTTCTTCACAAAAAGACTACCTACTTATAAATGGTAGTGCAAGTAGGCGAATTTGGGACACGGCAAACTGAATTATGGGTCGTGTGTGTGTGTGACATCACGCGTGCGCTGACAGCCGGGGCCCCCAGAGGTTTGACGGGATTGTGGGAGCCGAAGGTTCCGCTCGGAGCCTGAGCTAAAAACACACTCCTGGAGGAAAAAATGCGCTTTTATATGGACGTGACAGCCGACAAACACGTCTGCATCCGCGGTGAGCATTTCTCCGTGTTTCTCATGGATCCGAATGCGGCAGATCATCAAAAATGCTCCTTTTAGTAGTCGATAGCAGCTAGCTAATCATAATAATAACAACAGCCAATGGCAATGCTGCAGCAAACACACACACACACACATCGGCGTACATAGAGTGTGTGTTATTGTATATGGGAAACATTTAGAGTGAATATAGGTGTTAAAGATTGTGTACTGCAGTGTTGTGGTTTTTAATGTGTGTGTGCGTGAGTGCAGCTGCTGTATTTAGCCGAGGCTCACAGCTGCAATCAATGCATGTGTGCCAGCTTCTCTTATACTTCCTCATTTTTAAGCATTAATCAGTGATTTTGATGCTGTGTAATCAGAGCTGGAGTCTCATAAAGTCGATGCAAATGTGCTGTAAACATAAACGCGTTTCCCGTACATTGTGTTGATGCGCGTGCCCATGCATGTGTCTCCTGCAGGTTTGTTCATTGCTCTGTCTTGGGGCATCAACATATTGGATGTTTGTTAATTTAAGCTGAAGATGTTTAAGTTGGGGGCGATGCGGTGGTGGAGTGGGTAGTGCTGTCGCCTCACAGCAAAAGGTTGCTGGTTCCAGCCTCGGCTGGGTCAGTTGGCGTTTCTGTGTGGAGTTTGCATGTTCTCCCCGTCTTGGCGTGGGTTTCCTCCGGGTGCTCTGCATTCCCCCACTGTCCAAACACATGCGCTATAGGGGAATTGGGTAGGCTAAATTGTACGTAGTGTATGATTGTGAATGAGTGTGTATGAATGTTTCCCAGCTGGAAGGGCATCCGCTGCATTAAAACATGTGCTGGATAAGTTGGCGGTTCATTCTGCTGTGGCAACCCCAGATTAATAAAGGGACTAAGCCAAAAATAATATGAATGAATGATTAATTTGGAAGTATATACTTACATTAGTAAGCTGAATTCAACATGTTTTAACGTAAATACATTCATTATTTTCAGGCAATATGACAGAAATGTAACGATATAAGTCATCTCATATCCTGATTATGATCAGGGTGTCCACGAGGTCTTGAAAAGTCTTAAAAGGTCTAACATTTCAAAAACTAGATTTCCAGGAGGTTATCACTCGTTTGAGGGCATTATGACTCCTGTAAATGCATAGAGACTCCCGGAGCTTCCAGGGGACTTGGGATGTCAGAATATCACGTTTAACAACTGTAGTGAGACGCGATCCAGCGGTTCAACCTTGTTAAACACATGCACTGCTCTCTGTCTCTGGAGCTCTGAGTGAGAGAGAAGCTCGTGGCTGTGTGTGTGTGTGACGTATTAGTGTAAACGGGGCCTGAGTGTGTGTTTTTCGCAAGCGGCTTGGGTTGGGGGCGGGGCGATGGATCCCGATGTCGGCTCAGCCTCGTGTTGTCTTTTGGCCATCGGCGATGGACGATGGCATCGTCTCTCAGCCCAACCCTGGTGTAGCCCATCCGCCTCAAGGTTGGACGTGTTGTGTGTTCAGAGATGCTCTTCTGCAGAGCTCGGTTGTAACGAGTGCTTATTTGAGTTACTGTTGTCTTTCTATCAGCTGGAACCAGTCTGGCCATTCTCCTCTGACCTCTGGCCTCATCAACAAGGCATTTGTGCCCACAGAACTGCCGCTCACTGGATATTTCCTCTTCGTCGGAGCATTCTCTGTAACCCCAAGAGATGGTTGTGCGTGAAAATCCCAGTAGATCAGCAGTTTCTGAAATACTCAGAGCAGCCCGTCTGGCAGCAACAATCATGGCACGTTCAAAGTCTCTTAAATCCCCTTTCTTCCCCATTCTGATGCTCGCTTTGACCTGCAGCAGATCCTCTTGGCCATGTCTACATGCCTAAATGCAGTGAGCTGCTGCAATGTGATTGGCTGATTAGAAATTTCTGTTAAGGAGCAGTTGGACAGGTGTACCTAATAAAATGGCCGGTTAAGTGTTATAAGAGATTTTTGTCATTGTTGTACTAAACAGAGTATCGTTGATTTGATATACACTGTATAAATATCCGTTTATTAGCAGTTTTTCATGTTTTGTGATTGATGTTTTTATTTTTACCTGTTTATTTCTGCTTTTAAATTGGATTATGGGATCTTGATCTTTCATCCAATAACTTTTAAACATTAAAAAGTTGTAAAAGTGACTTGTTGTCATGTGTAATAGTGTGCAGTGCTGTATTGTCTGTGTTTGTGTTGTATATTACACTACAGAAGTCTTGTAATAAACTGCAGCACATTTTCTGTTATTTTACACACTTATTCCTCTAGATATTATTTATACATTATATTATTTCAAATGACTAAAATGTCAATAAAAGTCACTTTGTTAAACTATAGAGTTTAATTATTAACATCAGAAGTGGACAGAGCAGAGATCAACATCCCATAATGCAATTCACCACCGCAACTAAACAGAAAATACTGAAGAAAGTGTTCATGAACAGATCTCTTTTACAGTTTATTCTTATCATCTGTGCTAGTCTTGTGATTAGCGTTTCTTCAGGTTGAATCTACTGAGAGCAGTAATTAGGTCTGCACCCCTGTGAGTTTATACTTCAGCTGCCTAAGATCCAGCCCACATTTGTCATTTTGAAGGGATAGTTCACACAAAACTGAACATTTCCTTACTATTTATGCACACTCAAGTGGTTCTGGACTATTAAGAGTTTCTTTATCAGTTTGTTAAGAACATTTCGCAAAAACTGATGTAGAGTAAATTGCATTTTGGCCATTCATTTACCTTTTTTTATTTATTTTTTTAATTTAATCTTGTTCATTTACTTTTTTGTTAGTTTTTTATTAGTTTTAAAATTTAATTTTATTCATAGCTTTTTTTTGGTTTTTATTAGGTTTTTAATTTAATTTATATTATATTTATTTACATTTTTATTAGTATTTTTTAGGTTTTTAATTTAATTTATTTACCTAATTTATTTTGTTTTTATTAATTTTTAAATTTAATTTAATTTTATGTTTACATTTTTGGTTGTTAGATTTTTAATGTAATTTTATTCATTTAGCTTTTTTGTTTGTTTTGTTAGGTTTTTATTATATTTGGTTTATTCTTAAACTTTTTTATTAGTTTTTTTATTCTGAATTTTATTCAATCTAATTTTAACTCATTCAGTTCAATTGTTTGCTTTTAACTTACTGCTTGACTTTATTTTATTTCAATATTTTTTAAAGGGGAAATGAAGCACTCAGTCAAGTTTGTCTTATTTTGTACATTGGTTTCCACTTAAATGAAAATGTATTACGCAAACTTGATCAATGTAACCAATTAGCAGAAAATTGCAAGTTTTACTATAAATTTTAGACTTAGAACGCCGCCATCTTGGAATATCGCTGTGTCTGACGTCATGGGGTTGGTTCAGTTCCCTCAGCTGAACGGATACAGTGGAACTAAAGAACTGAACACGGAGACTGTAAAGCCTATTTTAACCCTATGCGTGAAGTTGTGGATGTGGAGCTTTTGCAAATACAAGCATCAGATGTGTGTATAATATAAAATATATTTATATTTATTTTATTTTTATTTTTGTCCCTTTTAATTACGATAATTTGATGCGCTTTGATTCACTCTCTGTATTAGGCTGCCTGACCGCCTGTCTGGGTTTCAATCATGGTTTCAACAGGGTCCGATGCTGACGTGATGAGGGCGGGTACTTTCACTTTTCACTGCTACAGCCACTCACCTCAGCTCGTGTTCAAGCCAAACTAAGATCGGCACGGTGTTTCACATGGCAGGTTATTTCATCCTTCATACATGTTGAGAGATCGAGTTGATCGACTTGAAGCGGGCATTTGTCTTGACATAACCCACACAGACATGAGTTAGTGAAGCGTGAAGTCATGTATGATTTTAATTGTTGCATTAGTATAATGCCTTCATCAGGCAGCGCTGGAGCAGCGTGAGAGAGTGGACCACAGCGCATCTAGCGAACAGCATTAACAAAAGAAAAATAGACAACTGAAGACACTTAAATGCTTGTATTTGTTGTATTTGCAGCAGCTCTGTGATGCTCGTCCACAACTTCATGCATTAGGTAAAATTAGGCTCTCCAGTCTCTGTGTTCAGTCCGTTACTACCATGGGTGAAACCCAGACAGGCAGTCAGTTAGTGTAATACAGAGAGTGGACCAAAGCGCATCAGATGATCGGTAATTAAAAGGGAAAAAATAGAATAAATATCTATACTTTTATAGTAGACACACATCTGATGCTTGTATTTGCAGCGGCTGTCCATTATTTCCACTGTACTTATTCAGCTGAGGGAATGGAACCAACTCCGTGACGTCAGACACAGTGAAATTCCAAGATGGTGGCACCCTAGCTCTGAAAGCCATTTTCTTTATGATGGTTTCATTAATCGAGTTTGTTAAATGTATTTTCATTAAAGTGGAATCAAATGTACAAAATAATGCAAACTTGACTGAGTGCTTAATTTCCCCTTTAAATTTACTTTAATTATTAGTTATTTTTATTAGTTTATTTATTCTTGTTCATGTATTTTTATTAGTTTTTTTATGCTTTTTTAATTAAAATTTATTAATAGCTTTTTTGATTTAAATTAGGTTTTTAATTTATATTATATTTATTTACATTTTTTATTTTACATCATTTTTTAGTAGGTTTTAATTTAATTATTTACACTTTTTTTTATTAGTTTTAAAATTTAATTTAATTTTATATCTTTAAATTTTTGGTTGTTCTTAGGTTTTTAATTAAATTTCATTCATTTAGCTTTTTTGTTTGTTTTATTAGGTATTAGGTTTTTAATTATATTGAATTTATATATATATATATATATATATATATATATATATATATATATATATATAAAAATATTTTATTTATTTATTTTTTCGAACTCGTTCAGTTTTCTTTGTTGAAAAAAAGTTTTTTTTTATCTCTAGCGTTTGTTGCAGTGCACATATCTATAGAAAGGGGAAGGGAAACCCATCCGTAATTTGCGTAAGAATATTTTGATGATAAATCAATTTATATAAAATGTGTATTTAACATTGATCAAATTGAAAGATCTAATATGACTCTTTATTATTGCTGATATTTGTATGTTTTTTTTTTGTACAATTCATGATTATCAAGACACAGTTATGATTGCCTATTATCATATACTGAGATGTTGAACAAAGCCAGTGTTGTTGATATGGCATTAAAATGTAAATAAAGATAAAAATGTAAGATATTTTGATGAATGTTGGAAAAAGCACCCATTGACCTCCATAGCAAAAACCAAAAATACACTGCAAGTCAATGGCTGTTTTTCCCCAAAATATCCCCTCAAACCATTTGGAAAGTAAATGACAGAATTATTTTATTTTTGGGAGGTGAACTATCCCTTTAACACAGTTAATCTTGTTTTCAATGGACAGTTAGTATGGAGAGAGGATTCTTGCACATGATACTCAGTGTTATAAATGACAAGAAATACTGTCATTTCTGGTAGCTGAGCCAAGCGTTTTGAGTTTGGTTGAACAATAGGCCACACAGGAATCACCCTTTCAGCAAAATCTTGAATGTTTCAGTAGAACCAGAAAAAAATGCTTTTCTTTGAGTAAGTGCACTGCTTGTGTGATTTTCAGTAAATGAACAGGCATGCATGGCTTATTTGAAGTTCTAAAAAGCGAATCTACTTTGTGAGATTACTATTAATATATTTATGTAAGGAATAATTGACGAGTGGTTTTAGTGTGCTTTATTCTGGAGCCTAAAGCCTGGAGTGCATTATTCTGTTTACACAATGATTTCCGCAGCTGAATCCACTGTTGAGTTGTATTCTGGAGTTTATTTGTCAGGTTTTTGTCCTCCTCAAACTGCTCCTGTGTGTAGCACTAGTGTCCTCCACATGTCCTCCTCCTTCTGTTGTGTTCTGATGTGATTACTGACTGTTGTTGCAGTAAAATAACTCCAATCATTCAGCGGAGTGATATGGAGCTGTACAAACCTGCTGGAACTACTTTAGCTGTGCCTTTATCTGAGAGTGAGCATCAGCCAATCAGAATCAGGCATTTAACAGCACTCTACTGTAAACAATTATATTTAAATGTTCTAATCTAAATAATAACTTTTCAATTTGTTCTCCTCAGGTTACAGAGGGCGACACATTTGCCTCTAAGAAAATGCCTTATGGGAAACGATATCATTCGAATACATTCCAGAACGAAAGGACCAAGAATAAGCTGCATTTTCTATGCTAACGTTTTGTACCCAATCTGCTGGAGCAGACCTTTTCGTCAACATTGCAAACCTGCCATCCTCATCTACAGAATCGACCCACCGACCGTCCTGACGGGCGACTGCCTATCATGAGATTCAGAATTTACAAGCGAAAGGTGGTAATATTGACTCTAGTGGTGATAATCTGTGGATTCGCCGTCTGGAATAGTGGGAAGCCTAAGAAGGCGAGTACTGTGTTTCCTAAAGAAGTGGAAACGGTTAAACGGAGTAGTGTTGGAAGTCAGATACAAGCTACCATTCCAGTAACCCGAAAACCAATCAACGAGAGTATCCCAGAAAAACAACAACAACAACAACCTGTTGCCAAATCAGAAGCAGACAACACCACCCTAGTGTACAGAGGAATCGTGTTCCAGCTCAACTTTGACCAGAATCTTAAAAACGAGGAAAAATTTCGAGCAGTGCGTCAAAAGGATGACCTTGTCATCGTCGTCCAAGTGCACAACCGTCCGGAATACCTACGCCTATTGGTGGACAGCTTGAGAAAGTCCAAAGGAATCGAAAACATCCTTCTGATATTCAGCCATGATTTCTGGTCTCCAGAAATCAACCAAATAGTGGCGTCTGTCGACTTCTGTTTGGTCCTTCAGATATTCTTCCCCTTCAGCATCCAACTCTACCCACAAGAGTTCCCTGGGAATGATCCCAGAGATTGTCCTCGAGACATTCCCAAGAAAGAGGCCTTAACCCTGGGCTGCATAAACGCAGAGTACCCAGACTCCTTCGGCCACTACCGGGAGGCCAAATTCTCCCAAACCAAACACCATTGGTGGTGGAAACTGCACTTTGTGTGGGATCGAGTCCGAGTCTTGAAGGATCACAAAGGACTGGTGTTGCTCATCGAAGAGGATCACTACCTCGCTCCAGACTTTTACCACCTTCTTAAACTGATGGCATCTCTAAAAAAAGAGCAATGTCCCGATTGCGATATCTTATCTCTGGGTAGCTACGGACACATCGGCTACTCGAGCAAAGCCAACAAAGTGGAGGTAAAAGCGTGGAAGTCCACCGAGCACAACATGGGAATGGCGCTGAACCGAGACGCCTATCAGAAACTTCTCAGATGCACCGATGCCTTCTGCACTTACGACGACTACAACTGGGACTGGTCCTTGCAGCATCTCACCGTGACCTGCCTGCCTGCATTTCTAAAGGTCATGGTTAGCGAGGCACCTCGTATTTTCCATGCCGGCGATTGCGGGATGCACCATAAGAAGTCGGCTTGCATGCCTAGTGGCCAGAAAACTAAGATTGAAAACGTTCTGCAGAACAGCGGGAATCAGCTGTTCCCCAAACAATTACTCATCACTAAGAGACTCCCAGCGTCTGGGGCCAAAGGAGTGGCTCCGCATGTCAAAAATGGCGGCTGGGGGGACATCAGGGACCATGAACTCTGCAAGAGCTACCTTCGATTACAGTGAACTTTATATATGATCTTCTTTTTGGTTGTTTTTTGCATCCTCTAATGAAAGCCTTTAAGAGTTCTTTATGGACGTCTTCTTCATATTGCCTGTTTTATTGAGATACTCCAAATAAAAAAAGTATGTGATGTTTGGATTTGGTGGTTATGAGCATCATTGAAGCATTAGTACTGGGAGGAAAAAAAGCAGGACTGGGTGATTGATTGAATAATGCTTATTTTTGTCATTAAAGCCAGTTCTGGTAAATCTCCTGCAGGTGCTTTTCTGATGGAGCAGAACTTCCAACACTGAGTAGTAATTCACTGATAAGTTGCTTGAGATCATGCTCAATATCTAAATTGGTTTAATTAGATTAACAGCAGATGGTGCTCTAGGCCAGTTTATAAACAGCAGACAGCCCTCTAGGCCAGTTTTAAACAGCAGCCGGCGCTCTAGGCCAGTTTATAAACAGCAGCCGGTGCTCTAGGCCAGTTTTAAACAGCAGCCGGCGCTCTAGGCCAGTTTATAAACAGCAGCCGGCGCTCTAGGCCAGTTTATAAACAGCAGATGGCGCTCTAGGCCAGTTTATAAACAGCAGACAGCGCTCTAGGCCAGTTTATAAACAGCAGATGGCGCTCTAGGCCAGTTTATAAACAGCAGATGGCGCTCTAGGCCAGTTTATAAACAGCAGACAGCGCTCTAGGCCAGTTTATAAACAGCAGACGGCGCTCTAGGCCAGTTTTAAACAGCAGCCGGCACTCTAGGCTAGTTTATAAACAGCAGACAGCACTTTAGGCCAGTTTTAAATAACAGGTGGTGTTCTAGGCTAGATTATAAACAGCACACAGTGCTCTAGTCTAGTTTATAAACATCAGCCGGTGCTCTAGGCCAGTCGTAAACAGCAGACTGTGCTCTAGGCCAGTTTATAAACAGCAGACGGCGCTCTACGCCAGTTTTAAACAGCAGATGGCGCTCTAGACCAGTTTTAAACAGCAGACAGTGCTTTAGGCCAGTTTTAAATAGCAGATGATGCTCTAGGTCAGTTTTAAACAGCAGACAGCGCTCTAGGCCAGTTTGTTAACAGCAGACGACGCTCTAGGTCAGTTTTAAACAGCAGATGGCGCTCTAGGTCAGTTTTAAACAGCAGATGGCGCTCTCATCCAGTTTTAAACAGCAGATGGCGCTCTCGGTCAGTTTTTAACAGCAGACGGCACTCTAAGTCAGTTTTAAACAGGAGACAGCGCCCTAGGCCAGTTTTAAACGGCAGACGCCGCTCTAAGCCAGTTTATAAACAGCAGACGGCGTTGTAGGCCATTTTTAAACAACAGATGAGACTAGGGTAGTTTAAAACAGCAGACGGCGCTCTTGACCAGTTTTAAACAGTAGATGGCGCTCTAGGCCAGTTTTAAACAGCAGATGACACTCTAGGTTAGTTTAAAACAGCAGATGGCGCTCTAGGCTAGTTTATAAACAGCGGACGGCGCTCTAGGCTAGTTTATAAACAGCGGACGGCGCTCTATGATAGTTTAAAACAGCAGACGGCGCTCTAGGCTAGTTTAAAACAGCAGACGGCGCTCTAAGCTAGTTTATAAACAGCAGATAATGCTCTAGGCCAGTTTTAAATAGCAGATAATGCTCTAGGCTAGTTTATAAACAGCAGACGGCGCTCTAGGCCAGTTTATAAACAGCAGACGGAACTCTAGGCCAGTTTTAAACAGCAAACAGCGCTCTAGGCCAGTTTATAAACAGCAGATGACACTCTAGGCCAGTTTTAAATAACAGATGGTGTTCTAGGCCAGTTTATAAACAGCAGACAGTGCTCTAGGCTAGTTTATAAACATCAGATGGCGCTCTAGGCCAGTTTTAAACAGCAGACAGTGCTCTACTTTAAAAAGCTAAGATCAGAGTCCATTTAAGAGAGAACAGCGATGCATTCTGAAACCATTAGAATTGAATTATTGAATTCTCAAACAATTCTTTTGTCACCAATCTAATGTTTTTACTACAAACTCACTTCGTAGCTTCAGTCGCGTGATCCTGCCGATTGTTTACAATTCAGGCCATATCAAATACAGCAGTCAAATCTTCTGTTTATAATGCAACACTACAGGGTTTCTGAGTTTCTTCTTCTTGGGTGTTTGAAGCACAAGAGCGCCCTCTGGCTTTGTGGAGGATTTGATCACAGAACTAATAAAAATCTGCATTCATTTCAATGAATCGCCCAGCCCTAAAAAAATAAATAAATAACAAGTGTTACCGTTTGTCACTCTTCTATCTATTATTAAAGCATTTTGTGCCATTTTTAAGATGACGTTTGTATGATCTGCAAAAAGCATGACGTTTCTTATGACTATGTATATGTGCGTGCGTGTGTGTATATATACAGACTTGCAGACAGTGTACTTTTAATCGTAATTCCACCTTCTGTTGGAGATTATGCCGGGCTATTTTTGATATGCAGATGAACTATTTTCTATTTGCTTGAATGTGACTGAGCGTTTTTCCAGGTTGTGCTTCATATTGAACGTATTCCAGTATCAGAATGGTTTTGAAGCTTTTGCAAGACATTAAAATTGCATTGACTATCTGGCAGTGCTCATTAACCCCCTTACAGAGGCTTTGTCCTATTTACACGCGCTTCCAGATCACTGGCCTCAATGTTACTCACAGATGAGAAGGAAAACGTGTGAGTAAACAAGCCTGTGGAGGTGCTGTTGGCCTTTTGAGTCACTGATATTTATTAACAATCACACTGTTATTAAAAATTGTAAAAAAAAATTTGTTTAGATATTTGCATTAACATTAAATTAATGCAAATATTCATCAAAATGATACATTAATGTTTTAAATATTTGCATTAACTCAATGTAATAATGCAATATGCCAAAAAATGATGCATTGCATTTTATAAATATTTGAATTAACTGTATAAAATAAATAAAAATATTCATACAAATTATACATACATTTTATAGATTTTACATTAAATTAATGCTAACATCTTAAAAATTATATCTATTTTATGGATTTAAAAATGATTCATGGATTTATAATATAATTTATGTATATTTGCATTAATCCTATTAAATTAGTGCAAATATCCATCAAACTGACACATTAATTTAATAGATATTGGCATTGACCCTATTTAATCATGCAAATATTCATAAAATTATACAAAAATGTATAATTATTTGCATTTACTATATTAAATTAATGCAAATATCTATCAAATATCCATACAAATATACATACATTTTATAGATATTAACATTAACACTATTAAATTTAAGCTAAAATCCATAAAATTATACATAAAAATTATAATTATATATTGTAATTTTCATTAATGCAAATATACATAGAAATCACACATAAAAAGTATGCATGCAAATAATGGATATTTGCTTTAACCATATTAAACTGATGCAAATATCTTTGAAAATGATACATTGATTTAATAGATGTGTGCATTAACCCTATTTAATCATGCAAATATTTATAAAATTAATGCTAAAATATATAAAACATAGATGAATGAATGGATAAAAAACATGTATGGATATTTTCATTCACCCTATTAAATTAATGCAAATATCCATAGACATTTTTATAAATATTTGCAATATTTAAATTATTTACAAATAACCATCAAATATCCATAATAAGTTTACTCAAATTATATATATATATATATATATATATATATATATATATATATATATATTCAATAACCCTATTAAATTATTGAAAATATACATAAAAATTAACCATTCATTTTAGAAAAAATTGCATTAAGTCTATTAAATTAATGCAAATAGCAATCAAATATCCATAGATAAATTTAGATAAATTTAAGAATATTTGTTTCTAAAATATTTGCATTAGCCTTATTAAATTATTGCAAATGTCCATAAAACCATTAATGTATGCATTATATTCGTCATATATTAATGCAAATAAACATTCAAAAATTATAGTTAAAACTTATAAAGCACAATTTAGTGAAGTGCAAAGTTCTCAATACATGTTGTTGGCTTTTTGTTTTACTGACATTTATTAACAACCACACTGGTAATAATTAATATTCTGGTAATATTCTGACAGGGCATTTGACAAATGTGCATATGAACATTATTAAACTGATGCAAATGTCTATAAAAAAAATATACATTAATTTAATAAAAAAAATATATATTAACTCTGTTAAATAGCCACCAAACATCAATAAACATTTACATTAATTGGATGGATATTTTATTTAACCCTATTAAATTAATGCAAATATCCATATATACATACATTTTTATAAATATTAGCATTAACCCTATTGAATTCATGCAAATATCTTAAGGTGTGAAGGTCGCTGGTCGAGTCTCGGCTGGGTCAGTTGGTGTTTCTGTGTGGAGTTTGCATGTTCTCCCCGTGTTGGCGTGGGTTTCCTCAAGGTGCTCCAATCCAAATACATGCGCTATAGGGGAATTCACTCATTCACACACACTCATACACTACGGCCAGTTTAGTTCATCAGTTCCCCTATAGCGCATGTGTTTGGATTGTGAAGAGAAACCGGAGCACCCAGAGGAAACCCACGCCAACACGGGGAGAACATGCAAACTCCACACAGAAACACCAACTGACCCAACCGGGACTCAAACCAGCAACCTTCATGCTGTGGGGCCAGAGTGATAACCACTGAGCTACCGTGACGCCCATAACAGATCCAAATACACTGCAATTTCCTCCCCGTTTTAAAATAATTAATTACTTAATCTTTCAGTATTTGATCTTTAAGACTCATGACAAGACAAATGCTTCTGGCGCATTCAGATGCCGACACAATAATGGATATAATACAGTTCATCTGCAGTTTGTGTAATGAGCAATAAATGACAGGATGGAGGAGATATAATTACATCAGTGCAAGCATCAATATTACTCACAATCACAATTATGAACAGTTTCTGCTGCAGAGATGACGCATACACTACCTGACTAAAGTCTTGTGGTGGATCTCAGTTGTAAGAGCCACACATAATAACTGGACTTCTAGTTGATCGTGTATAAAGGTGTTGAAGGTGGATTTCTCTGCTGAATCATCTGCTGATCTGCATCATTCATCACCAATACTGCAGAAGACCTACTGGAACCAGCATG